AAATCTGGAGAAAAAACTGCTGAGTTATTAATCTCTGAACTGAAGCCCCTAAGTCCATTTAGTGATTGACTTCTGCTTGTYGTCTAATCCCTTTGAAGCAGAGAAGAGAGACTCAGAGTTGTTCTCTCTGCTGTGTAATAAGAGGAAATTAACTAGTGAGCAAAATAAATAAAATGATTAATTGGCAGCAATAAGGAGCTGTGTATGCACTGTATCTAATTGCTTTTTTATATTGTCTTCCCCTGACTTCTTGGAAGACACAGGTTTGTGGGCTGCGTATGCAAAAATATGCTAAAAATACCTCACGGAGGCTTTGAACCTGCAGCTTCAAAGATCATTGTGTGCATCACCTTCTATTGCTTTGGACAGTCTCTAATGGGGACATTGCTCAGCCAAGCTGAATTTATGCAGTGGAAATTCGGGCTGAAATTGAACACACCTCAGAATCACGGCRTAAATCAAATCTCATTTCCCTGCTTTGCAGAGACCGTGGGCTGTGTGAGCTTTCTTCCTCCTCCTCCTCCGAAGCAATTTTTATTCTGCCAGGTCAGAGCTACCTTTTCCTTATGAGAAATACTGAGCGAGTGGCTTCCCTGAGCCTTATTCAAAAAACTATCAGAGCTAATAGCTTTGCAAACGTTTGATGTCCTCCAGGCATTTGGGAGCACTAAATCCTCACACAGGGAATTTTAGCCTATTGAACAATGATGTCCTCCAAGCACCGCAGAAATTAGCGTGGAGATATCTCCATTACAGATTCAGCAGGTACTTATGCAGCCATGTAACAGAAGAGAAATTGAGAGGGAAATGGGAAGCCCTTGTGAACAGCTCCTTGGAAGCCCTCATGAACAGCTCCTTGGCCCTAAGAGTGGCAGCATCGTTGCCTCCGTCTTCAGCAGCACCTTACCARTCTCTCCTGTCTCTGTAGCCTGCAGGCTCAGAGCTGTCAGGAAAGGTGCCCACCGTCTGATTTGGAGGGCAGGCAGCACGGACAAGCAGTTCTCCACCTTGCTGTACCATGTCCTATGATTAATTCAACTTGAGGATCCCAGAGCTTTGGAAAAGCAGCACAAGTTTTGTTCTCCTCGTCCTTTGGAGAGAATGGGTGCGATGCCAGCACGAGTCACCTCCTCCACGAGTATCAATGGCAGGCATGCTGCCAAGGCAATGCTCTTATCTGGCCATCAGGAATCAACCTCCCCTTTGTGGCTTGTCCTTTCTGCCACTCCAGTGGCTGAGTGTTTGTGGAGATAACAGGGTCACTGTCACAGAGATACGTCTTTTCAGTCTCTTCCCAATGGACTTTCTGAAGGGATTTGTCCTCTGTGGTGTTAGGAGGTTATTGCCTTGAGTGTCAGAGTGGGGGGAAAGCTAGTGCTGAAGAGGTAGTAGGTCTGATTATTTAAAAATATAAGCAAAACAAATGTTGCATGGAAAAGCATTAAGTTCCTAGGCACATAGCTTCTTTTTATGTGCCTCAAATGCCTTTGGATCAAGATGCCACCCCATTCCTTCTCAGAGACCTAGCTATTATCAGGGGCCCTGATTGTTTCTGTTGATTATGAGGAGAAATGACTCAAAGTAGCTAAAGTCAGCAATTCTGGTGTCTTTGTGTTTATTTCAAAGAATGAACACTGATATTTTTTCCCCTAGAAGAGCGACAACAAGCAGCAGACCTTCTCATTTTTCAGAGACCTCTGACCTGTTTTCCTTGTGCAGTCTATGCCAAAGTCTCTGTTCCCCTCTTAGGCTTGCTCTGCTGAGTGCCTGCTGGCTGACARTCCTGCTTGTCTCCATTTTGGTCACCAGGTTAGGTATCTCATCAGGTCTCCCTTTGCTAATGACTACCCTGGAGAGTAGCCTCTCTGTATGGCACAAGCTGCTCCATATGGGTGAGAACAGGATTCCAACCAGTGCCTGGGTCTTCTGCTGAGCTGCTTGGTAGGACAGACTCGACCCTGTCTTAGTAAGAATTGCATACTTTGTCATAAAAGTAACTAATTCCAAAAACTAACTTAGCTGCATTCCCAGTTTCTAGGGGACAGTCACGCTGTCTGTTCACCTCTGCCTTTTGAGGTGTTCCTGACGTCCATACTGCACCTGAGTACTTGTGTGCCACRTGAAAGGGCCTCTGAGCTGCACATGAGATTGCCTTGGGTCTGAACTAACTGCCTTTGAAGACGCTGTAGACTTTGTATTGCAGTTTGGGTTGCCTGCACTTGAACTGACTCGAAACCAATTGATTGAAACCAATTTTGGAAGACCATCCTAAGAGCTTCTTGATCATGTTTTGCAGCTGAAGTTCCCTTTTTACTGCAAGATTTTCCAGTTATAAGGATCATCCAGTAGCTTATAGCTCTCTGTTCCAACTTGGGATTGCAAAAGCCTTAAGATCTAAAGCTCCTACACAAGTTGAGTCTCAAGGAAACTTCCAAGCACTGCCCATCTTTCCTTGATAGCTAGCTACCCCTGCATGCAGCTTACTATGATTTTTTGTCCCTGCAGGCAAAATATCCTATTTCTAGCAAGCCAATTACCTACAGTTCTTTTATTTCTTTTCAGTCATATCTTTAGAGGAGATTTTTGCAGATTTAATTTATATGGCTCTGAGTATTAAGCTGTAGGCAAATCTGCTAAATGTGGCCATACTGGAAGGGGTTCTTGGAATCACTGTGATAGTTGTCTGAAAATGTTGATTCAAGRCTCACTAATGGTCAAAAAGGCAAATAGAGAATTAGCAATTATTAGAAAAAGGTCGGGAAAATAAAGCAGAAATGCTGTGTTGCCACTGTAAGCCTGATGGCCCATGTTCTGAATGATGTATATCAGATTCTGGGCCTTTTTTTCAGAAAAGACTCATGAAATAGTACAGATCATCAATATGACGGATTAGAACAGACTTGAGCTTCTTTTTTTCATCTGTGGTCAGTTATGTAGGTGAGTTCTGGATTTCCTGTTTCTTGGCCTTTTCACTGCATCTGTTCACCCCAGAATTATTGCATCTCATTCATTTGCAACGCGCCACTTCCCTTGTGCAATTAATAGCTAGACTTCCGTTGTCAGGATTTAATTAACTAAATTGTAATAGAAGCCATGGGACTCAATTTTGTACCTTCCTAGCTTTGCCCCTCCAAGTGCCTAGCATCCCTCAACACCTCTGGCAGGGTTTTCCTCTAGTATATCTCACATTATTTGAGTTGCTTTAAATATGTAGCACCCTCTTATTTTGTGGCCAGTTTTTTTAGTGCTACCATTTAGTTTTGCTGCTTCCTTTAGTTTGAAGTTGTCTGTGTTTTACAAAGCAACTTTAAGAAGAGCATTAAAAAACCTTTCATGAGCTAGGTTAATGTGTTTCTTTCTCCTAAACGTGTCTGTCCATCCCTAGCACTGGATTTGTCCAGCTAATTGCTATATGGAGGAGCAAAAGATATGCATGGCGAGCTCTTAGTTTTTGAAGTATCTGTGCTCTCCTTTTGCTCCTCTACCTACAAGGCAGAGCAAGTTTTTCCAAGATGGATGTAATCAGTATATCCTGCAGAAGTCCTTGTTGGCTGTGTGAGAAGCACGAGGTCTCATAGATCCTCTGCTGGTTAACATGAATCAGACCAGTTGAGGCAGTTCCACATTCCTCCTATAACTGCTGATACTTCGTATCAGCCTCCCAATTATTATTCCCCTGGGCACAAGTAGACTTAGGTCTCCTTTAAGCTGAAACAGTCCAATTGCTTTTGTCTCTAAAGCTGGACAGAAAAGAAGGTTTATGACATGTCCTGTCTTAATCGTTTTCTAGACAGTCTTATTCCTCAGCCAACAGTCTTCTAGGCAAATTTGAATTTCTTCTCTAGGAATAAGTTTGCTCCCCTTACTGCTTCCTTCAGGTTTACACCAGATATGCTCTTATCACCAGCTAAGGCAATCTAGGCTAGAAGTTTTATGTTCAGATTTCAGAATCTCTCATGACGCTTTCTTGTTGCTGTCCCTATAAAGATTTTATTTCTGACATTTCTTACAGAGTTTTCAGCTATGGTTTTGTTTGTGTTTTAAGGATAAGATCATCTTTGGTTTCTGTAGCAGCTTTGCTTGTCCTGGCTGTTCAGTTCAGTAGGAACAGCAGCTCATAACCTGTACTTAAAACTCTCTTATTCTGGGCACCAAGGTTGTTCATCTGACTTTGATCAGTTAACTGGTGCTAAGGAAGCTACAGCTGGTGGTTTTTCTCGATGTTCAAGAAGAAATGATCTCCTCTAAATAAAGAGCATTGCACCAAAGAATGCCCCCAAACGACAGCATCCATCTACTAAACATGGGCTGGCCACCTGGGCAGAGCAGGTAATGTGCACTGTGAGCAGAAAGATGCTCTTCCTCTTATCTGGTGATTTGGTGGCAGCAGTTGATTTACTGCRGTGGTGAAGTGCAGCTGGTAGATAAAAGCTTCTCTTGGAACAGCCCATCACATTTTAGCACTTAAGTTAATTATAAGCACGATGGGGAAAATAAAAAAATTAACGGTCCAGTCCATAGCTCTCTGCAGTGCGTTTCTAGCCTTGGCAGAATTGCAAGTGCTCTTACATACCTAACAGTGAGAAATGTTTTCATAAATGCCACCAGCTGGAGATAAGGGTTCACAGCTCCAAAACGGGCTGTATCTCCAAAATAGCAAATCTCTCTATCTTGGGGTTTTATGCTCCTGCCATTATCCTGGCTGCTGCCTGCCTACCTCAAAAAGCTGCTAACGACAAGCGAGCCTAGCAAACCTCACTCAGCCTCTGGCACATCTCTCCACGCAGGTCTAAAAGTCTGCTTTAGGAAGATGTTTATTTTATTGCATGATAATTTTTAAGCTAATTTGTTTCAGGATCTTTGACTTTTATTCCGTGAGTGGCTTTTGGAAGTGCCAATGTTGTGCAGTACTTAAATGTTTGTTCTGCCAGCAGAACATTGACTGAATCCATCTTCTTCCCTTGAATGGCACAGAATTGCTTCCTATATGTCTTTTTAAGGGCCTTTCCCTGCACTTTGGGAAAGAGAGTCCAGAGTCCCCAAGAGAGAGATGGGCTGTTTGTACCAAGTGCTCYGTGCAGATTAGCGTGGGACCACTCACCATCGTTGAAACTGAGAAGAGCAGACAGGTCTGGAGGGAAAGCAATGCCAGGTGAGTGCAGTTTCTCCTTGAGCTCCTCTCACATGGGGTCAGGTGTGAGCAGTGGTGTGGCAGGCCTGCCCCAAAAGGCAGAGCCAAGCACGTCTGCGTAATGTGCATGGGAGCTGGCGAGGGCGGCTAAATGCGGCCTGCTGAAATCACACTACAGTAAAAATATCCATAAAAGCCATGTGGGAGTTTCTGGTGGCTGAATTGTTGACTAAGCTGTCTGATAGAGTGGAGGCAGTTACTGGAGAGAGCAATTTGTGTGAAATTAAAAGGCAGTGTGTTGTCAGCGCRCCACTTGGCACCCTGGCTGGAGTGGGCTCCTTTGCCATTGCTGCTTTTGTAGCCCTCATACAGCTGTCACTTAGCTCCTGCTTAGCTCTGCACACAGAGTCAGAGAATCACAGAAAGGTTGAGGTTGAAAGGGACCTCTCGAGATCATCTAGTCCAACCCCTCTAGGACACCTGGAGCCCATGGCACAGGGTGGCATCCGTGTGAGTTTTGAAGATCTTCAGAGGAGACTCCACAACCTTTCTGGGCAGCTTCTTCCAGGACTCTGTCACCCTCACAATGAAGAAATTCTTCCTCACATGGAGATGGAACTGCCTGTGTTTCAATTTGTACCCTTAGACATGTCCTTTTTAGCTGCACTCCGCATGGGGCTGTGGGCTTTCCCTCTCTCTTAAGCCTAGCCCTAAGCATACAGTCCCCAGGCCTAGTGCTGACTAAACGGCAAGTCATGTCCTAGCACCAGGCCGGATGTAGCACTATCTTTCCTTACTCACGTGGTGTGCACGTTTACATCAGGAGCAAGAATGACTGAAGAAGAAAGCTGAGGCCTGGTTCAAGTCCTTGCAGTGCCAGGACTGAGCAGATTTTTTGGAGATGTGTGTGAGAAGCATGAGCACTGCTGTAGATTCCCAGGGTTGGCAGCAGTGCCCGTGCTGGCCGCCTGTGGCACAGCCCTTGCAGGGAGGTGTGCGGGGGCGGTCAGAGGGTGTCGTGCTCCTAGCACTCTGTAGGCTGGGTAGGGATGTCAAGGCTTGACAAACACGTTAATATCTTCACACCTTCTTAAGGAACGTCCCCAGTGAGCTGTGCATATAGCAGGTCTGTGTGACCGTTAACCCGTATGCCTTAGTCACTACTGGCCTTTGCCTCCCGTTGCAGCCTTTCTGCTTCTAAAGTAACTGTTGAATCTTGCCTCGATCTGTCCCGTAAGAGCTGGAAATGGGGACTTCAGTGTGCATTTACAGCTTCTCCTTGGAGGCAGCTTTGGCTTTGGGTAGCTGCAGTGATGCGGATAATTGCGGAATCGCTGCCAACAGGCCATGCGAAGCCCCCGACAGGCTGGCAATCCATCCGTCTGCCTCCAGCAGCATCGGCGGCCCCAAAAGCATTCCCAACGGATTTGCTGTGAGCCAGTTCTTTCCACCTGGGAACAGACTGAGCCCAGGGCCACGCGCTTCAGTACCACTGCACTTAAAGGTTTTTCTTAATATCTCAGAAGCTTTGCATTTGTAGCAAACATGTTTCATAGTCTTCAATGTAGCTTCTTTTTCCTTTCTCACACTGGAGAATAGGTGATCCTCGTGGATCCAGACAGCTGGGTGTGTGTGCACAGCTGTGCCCAGCTGCAGTTAGGAAGCTGTTTGCTTCCTCTCCTGATGCAGCTTCTGCAGTGGAGTTTGTCTCATTAGGTGTGATCTGTCTCTGCCTTCCCTGGGGAGGTCAGGGCCACCTATTTAGCATGTCCTGAAAAATCCTAACGTGCAGCAGTTCCTTTGAATTCAGGGTTGGCTGTGTGACTGTTGCATAAGTCTTTCTTGTTTTTGTTCTCAGACAGCGAGAGTTGGTTTTGTATCGTTTAATACCTTCATCTCTGCACATCGTTTAGCTGCCATAGGGAACAGCTARTGGTATTGTGGAAATACTTCCTTCTGGTTTCTGCAGGAGGGGAAGAAATTCCTGCTACTCCACATAATCCCTGCTACTGTTTCTCCACAGATTAAGTCTGGCATTATAGGGATATTTCTAAAAACTGAGTGATTTCCTGGTTGATTGGGTCAGTGAGTCTTTTCTCCTCRATGGAGTTGAACACCACATGCTTCTAAATAGGTCTCAACTTGAAAACGCTTCTGGAAGAGAACTACTGTCCCAGAATAGGATTCCATTTCTGCTAGCAGAGTTCATGGAATGACTGTCATTTTCTGAGCGAGCTTGTAATTTATTTATCCTTAGAGGAGGTACCTGTGGACAGAGGAACAAACCCTCCATCCCCATGGATAGAAACGGTCAGCTTTGTAGGCTTGTTCCTTTAAAGATCATAGCTCTCCATGAAATCAGTGAACAAACATCTGAGCTGCTGTAAATCATCTGAGCCCAGCAGAATGGCTGTATGCTGAAACCAGGAAAAACAGATGTGAAATGTCCCTCCTTGATGTAAAAAAATAATAATCATAGAATCGTAGAATCATTAAGTTTGGAAGGGACCTTTAGATATCTAGTGCAACCCCCCTGCACACACAGGGTCACCTAGAGCACATGGCACAGGCTGTGTCCAAGTGAATTTTGAAGATCTCCAGAGAAGGAGACTCCACAGCCTCTCGGGGCAGCCTGTTCCAGGGCTCTGTCACTCTCACTGWTATGCAATTTTTCCTTAGCTTCCTGTGGAACTTTTGGTGCTTCAGTCTGTGGCCATTTCCTCTAGTCTTGTTGGTGGCCACCACTGAAAAGAGGCCACCCTGTTCTCCTCACTCCCTCCCTTGAGGTATTTATGTACACTTTTCAGGTCCTCTCTCAACTTTCTCTTCTCCAGGCTGAACAGGCCCAGCTCTCTCAGCCTTTGCTCACAGGGCAGATGTTCCAGGCCCCTCATCATCTTCATAGCCCTGCACTCGTCTCTCTCTGGTAGCTCCACATCCCTCCTCTGGGGAGCCCAGAACTAGAAATAATAAGAATAAGAATGCTTTATCTTGCATCAGAACATTTTGCCTTATGTAGAAAAGTAGCAAGGACAAGATTTCAATCGTGCTTGGRTGCAAATAAGTCAAAGCAGCCCTCGGGAAGCGTGCGGGATGTGGAGAGGGAATGTTCCCCCGTGCCCATGGAGAGCAGGGCACTGTGCGTGACGGAGCTGCCGGGAGTCACTGCCAGGGAGAAGAGGCAGAAGCAGGAGGGCAAAGACGCTCTGCTCCCTGGCTCCRAAGCGCAGGATGTCCTTGTGACTGGTGGGGACTTTGTGACAGGCTTAGCCTGAGCAGCCTCGCGCTCCCGCCAGCAGCAGGACGAGGCACAGGTCCTTCGCTCGCATGTTCACACACAGCTGCTGCGCGAGGGCAGCAGATCTGGGCCCCTGGAGCAGGAGGGACAACCTGCGGYGTGACCTGCGCGTGGCGGGGGCCATTGCACTTGCATCTCGCGCAGGTTTTTGTCTTTCCCACTGTGTGCATCACTCGGTGTGCTCTCCGGATCTGTAGATGTGTGTGAACTGTATMTGCAAATCTGGATTATTAGGATCCCCAGTGACAACACCCTCCTCTTCCTCTTAGCATTCAGTGGAATTAAGACCCTTACTTTGATCAGCTCTAGCTCCAGGGCAGTGGCAAAGATGTTGAGTCAGACAAAAGCTCCAGGCTGCCGCTTGGCTCAGGATGGCTCCTTTCCTGGAAGTGCTGCACATGGGAGCTGCTGCCCTCCCTGTGTAGCACTGACAGCCTCCGTGGCACCTCTTCCTGAACTCAGCTCCTGCAGACAGGGAAAGATGAAAGGGAGAAGGAGCCTGGCATGGCTAATGGGCTTCAGAGGCAAGTGCAGCAGGCGCCTGGGCAGAGACTACTGGGAAATGTGGCAGCTGAGTGTGTGTTTGTTTTTATTTAGCTTCTAATTATTTAGTTATGCGCTTTGTCTTYGGCACTTCTGAGGATTAATTCCAGTAGAGACTGCAGCCGGCATCAGCAGTTTTTAGGTTGCTCTGTGAGACATGTGGTGCCATTTGAAAAAAAAGAAAAAAAAATACTTTCTATATTAATTAGAAGACATTGTTGTAAAATTTGTCAATTATCTGTCACTTTATTACAGAGAGGCAACAGCCTCTTTGTAGTAAAGGTGGCAGCAGCCTCTTCATTACAATTAGAAATGTTGCCATTCAGTTGAGTTCCCTAGAAACAACACTCTGGGATTATGAGTAACTTGTGCAAATTGATGGAGGAGGAATGGGAAGRGTTGCACTAATTGATGAGGGGGAAATGGGAAGATTTGTACTAATCTTGGATTAAGCTATTTTGAGGACCCAAGTGTAAGGTGCACATCAGACTTCYCAGAGTAGGAAAACCCAAATGCCTTTTTTTTTCTCCAGCCTCCTTTTGCTGAGCTGAGAGGACAAAGCTGCTGTGCTTGCTCGTGGTATTTTGGCCTTCACCCAGGGTTCAGAAATGGGACTGCCTTGATCCCCTGTGTGATACACAGACTGTGACAGGACCTTTACCACCTTCTTAGAGCAGGAAATCCATTTTTTGTCCCCCAAGTCCCCACTCCTGTGCTGTGTCCCTGCAGCCCCACAGTGAGCGGTCCTCATTACCAGCCTCTCAGGTCAGACACCAAGGGTGACATTTATGCTGTTGGCAAAGGTTCCCTGGTGGCAGGGGCTGCACCCTCTGCCTTGGTGATCCAGCCCATGACCCGCTCTGCTAGATGCTGCTGATCAGGATTGAGCTCTGATGTTCTGGTCAGCTCTCCTGGTCAGCTAGTCCCCAGAGACCTACCACTGTCCTTCAGGATGGAGGACCTGGTCTGGAGAGCCTCCCCGTGTCCCATCCTTGTAATCTGCAAGACTCTGTGCTTGGGCTTGATACGGACACTTCAGAATGGTGGGGATTTCTCTTTTTCCTTTCTGCTTAGTGCAAGATCACAGAATAGGTTCTGTTCCAGCTGCTTTGATGCCACCATAACTAAGGACCATCTTTTGGGTAGGGAGGAGCACTAGTGAGATATACTGACCTTGCTGGCTGCCTGCATTCCTGTCCTTTCCTGCACTGTTTAGAAAGACAGTGCAGAGCTTTGCTTTCTTCTTCTTGCTGTCTAATTATCCATGCATGTCTTCCCAAAACCTGCAGGGGATTTAGGATTTGAGAGCCTCTCTGTTTTGCTACTAGGTCTGTGACATGAATTACTGGAGTTTGTTTCCCTTTTTGGCTTTGCTGTTAAAGGTGGGAATCAAATGCTATGCAGATGATCCCATAATTTTCCCAGCGCAAACTATTCCAGAAGGTCCAGTCTCTTCTGTCCTCTGTACAATAAGTCTGCTCCTGTTGAGAATTAGTCAGAGGGAACAGTTGTGGCACAGTGAGGAAAAGACTGGATAGGTGATGGCAAAGCATGGACTGGGTTCAATGTGGAAAATAAAAATCAGGGCAAGACAAATTGATCCCAAGGCTCACGGCCAAGATATGCTGACTTTTCAAAGGTCATCCATCCAGCTGAGGTGGGAAAATCGAGATTGGGGTTTGCAGGATACAGCAAAATTAGGGATCCAAAAGCTCTGTACAATCAATAAACTTGTTCCTGTGTGTGTAGCAGCATGAGATGAGTGGGATTCTACTGATGAGTGAGCCCTGTGTTGGCTGCTCTGTTGGATGCCACCCCCTGCTATATTACCCAAGGACAGTATGTCTGTTCCCAAGTTGTCTGCATTGGAGGGGGAGTAATGGGCCTGGGTATCTGCAGCTGCAGGAGGAAGCTGGAATCCTCCCGAGAGCTGCAAAGTGCTCGTGTTCGGAGCAGTCCCTCCAAGGCTGGGTTTAGAGCACACGTGCCCTGTGCAGAATTGCTAACATTTCTCTGGAACTTCCGTAAAGCAGTTGGTGAATGAGCAGTGGGTTAATTCAATGGCAAATTCTTTTTAAATTACAGCAATGCAGCTCCATGGCCTTCAAGGATGTTGYACTGAAGTAAATGAGAGATTGCAGTGTCTAGGACTGGTACAGATAGCTGCAGGGAAGGGAATTCAGCAGCCTTTGCTTTGCTTGGATTGCAAAGCAATCCAAGTGAGTTCCTCACTTCTGTTGTCTTGATCAGAGGAGACTCTGATCCTCTTAAGGTAACTCACGGAAAGRGATTTAGTTTGTGCCTTCTTTTCACTTAGTCTTCTTCCTTTGTAAAGACCCAGTAAAACATTTTTTTAGAAGTTTGCCCTGTGTATTTACCCTTGCAATCTGAGGAATGTCAYATCTTATCATCCCTGTTGCTTGCTGAGATGCTCCTTGGAAGTCATCTACAATCCATTTTCCTCCACACTTGCCTGACATTAGAAGTGTTGTTTTCCCAGCTGGTTGTAAGAGTTTAAAAATTGAACAACTTAAAAATGATCATGGAAGAGTCCAACTAAAAGTCCCTTTCYTTTTAAGCTATTCAGACTTCACCATTTTGGAATCAATGTTTTCTAGTTTTCCTTAGAGACTTCTCTGAAAAGCAGGTCAGACAAGAGACTTTAAAAGAGAAATGCTTCAGTCTCAAGACTAAATTCTTCCAAGTCTTTTGTAACTGTCAGAAAGATGCAGATAAAGATCTCATATGTTAAAGGCGAGAGGATGCTGTTCTTGCAGTTGTTTCCTTAACAAAAGTCCAGGTAGTGTAGAGTAAGAAAAGGGAGAGGGAATGATGGATGCTAACATGAAATCTTGTATTACACAGAGGCTGTGAGATTTTGTGACTTGTGTAGAAAGATCATGCCTTTCAAATCATCGTACTAGTTGCTCTTCATACCTTCTGCTGCTCTTCACTTCTCTCTGTGGAGCAGCTGCGTTTTAAAGTGCAGCTGAAACCATCTCAGGAATGGCAGGTCCTAATCTCAGTAACAGTTCCCATCCATTACGGGGTACGAAGTGAAGCGATCTGTGAGTGGGTTTGTCTCCGATCCCACATAGCGCTTTTCCTCATCAGCAGCAAGAAAGGGAAATTATCTGGCAGTGAGGAGAAGATGTTTATTTTTAACTTGCTCTTTCTTTTAAAGTTATTTCATAATAGGAGGAGATAGAGGGTGCCAGTCAACGAAAATACATAGATAAAGGCCTAAGCTCTTTACAGGGGCTGTGATAAGGAGTTGTAACCCAGTATAGTTATTATAGAAGCTGGGCCTTTTGCTCCTTCGCTGTTGTCCTGCTGGAGCATCAGGCTGTGCCCTTTCCCTCTCCCTTAAAAGGGGCAGGGAAGAGTTGATGGAGTGGGTGCTGCTTGCAGCACTTGCTGCTGCCCTCCATTCGCCACTGCTTGCCCTGCTCAGAGTGCCCGCCGAGCGCCCAGAGCGGGCAGGGCAGCCCTGCTTCCTCATGGGGATCGTGTGCAGCTGGTGTCCGCTCTGCGCGGGCATGGGGACACGCCGCGTGCAAGAAGGGCACGAGGGAGGGCTCCTGCGGGCTGGCGCTGGCCTTGGGGCAATGCCTCTGCCCCCTGGGTTACTGCAAGAGAGGCCAGATCTGCTCCTCACCTTTCAAACGCCGTTTCTCCCCTGCATGCTGTTGATCTGGATCACTGTGCATTCCTCCCAACGGCAAGAGAATACCCTGTGACTGCTGCAAGCTGCTGGGTGCTTCACTGCCCAGAAGAAGGGGCCTTATGCTATTATTCTCTATCCCTGCTGGATAGTTGCCTGCAAGAGTAAATTATTCCTATTCCAGGCCTGTTTCATTCATCATTGCTCTTGGCTCTGATGTTCTTCGCAACCTCTCCTCCTRAGAACAAGAGGACATGACCGAATTTGTAGATGCTGTTATTGCAGGACTCTTGCTCCCTACCAGCAGAGCTGACAAACAGAATTAGGAAATCAGTCTGTCTGGAGAGGAGGCTGCGTGCTCTTGCAGCAGCAGGGTTCTGACAGACTTTTCTTGAAAAACCTTATAAAATACCAGTTCTTCCCCCCTGTCTTGCCTCTGCAATGCGCAGCTGAGCTGCAAAGGGCTCTGTGACTCTCACTTTGGGGCCCCTTAGTCCTCTTTGGATGATGCTCTTACTAAACCTTGTGGTCTTTCTTTTAACAGGACCTCAGGTCCTACTCCATTTTTAAGTGTTCATGTGAGCGGCTGTGTGTGTCTCACTGCGATGTCCAGAGTTTGAGGGGAGGGCAGAAAGCCAGGGAAAAAACAAAAAAACTTTTGAAGGGATCCTGAGCAAGTCATGGAGAAAGACGGGAGTGCAGTTCAATCAAGTAAGGGGCAGGAGCTACCAAATGGCTAAAAGGGCATTTGAGGGTAGCATTTACATTATGAAGAGAACAAGAAGAGAAGCAGAGGCAATCCCTTGTTGTCCTGGTCCTTGTTTGTTGTCTCCAGCCCTTTGAAATGCCTTTCTCAGGACCTCACCGGAGTTGAAAGCCTTGGGGCAGGGCTGCCTTCCTTTGCACCTTGCTGCCCATGCCCTCCTCCTGGCYGAGGCTTTTCATGAGCAGGGGCTTCTTTAATGCAGAGCCTCATATGTTGATATTCTGTCGGCGCTCCTGTTTGAGATCAAGTGGTAACAGCCTAAGAAAAGAAGCTCTTGTGTGTAAGAGAATTGTTTTGAGCATACGCTTTGCCCAGGAGTGCTGAGCTATGTGGTTCCTGATAGGAACATCATTGTTACTTGCCATCTCACAAATGCTTTGAGGAACAAATTTGTCCATGCAGTGCTTTGAAGCTAAAAACCAGCTAACACCCTTGGTGTTCCCTGGTTAGGAAAACGAATTGTTCCAGAGGCTGGAGAAGTGTAACTACAAATTTATAAGCACAGCCCTGGCTTGGGAGCAGGGTGATAGTTGTGTAAGCTGGAACGCTTCAGTTGCAGTGAAGGCAGGTAATGTAATAACAGTACCTACTCAGCACCTGGATGTGATGTCCCACCTGTTTCTAATACCAAAATTCATAACAAAATAGATCTTAGTGTCTATCAAAGCTTATTTGCCTTGGTAGAGAAGTGCAGTGCTGTACCTGGAGGCTGACCACAGCAGCTGCAGAAGCTGGCGGTTCAGCAGGTTGTGAATGGTGAACAGCAAGCCAGGAGGGAGGGGAGCTGGCAAAACTAGCACCGTGGGACCAAGGGGTCAGACAGGCCTGTGTTTGTGTAGTACCTGCTCTGCTACATTTGTGTGTAAACATGGTAATTAGCTCCTTAATAAGATCCTGTCTGCTTTTTCTAGTGACATGATAGTATTTGGAAAGAAGCTGTCATGTTTATAGGCTGATATTCTATTCCTATGAATGGAGAAACACAGTAAATTTGAGCGCTGCTCCTTACTGGCATTAGGAAGATTTCTAGTGCCCACCTCCRTGTTGTTACTCATGTTCCAAATATTGGCCATTAAAGCCATTATGTTGAAAAACAGGTGCCAGAGCTGTGATTTATCTCAGCCTTGCTCCTCCTGTGCCGAGACATCTGTGGATACTGACTCCTCCACTATATTTGGTTGTATTTGGCAGGTTTTGGAAGTGGTGCGATCCAACTATGACACGCTGACTCTGAAGCTGCAGGATGGGCTGGACCAGTACGAGCGCTACTCAGAACAGCATAAAGAGGCTGCCTTCTTCAAAGAGCTGGTGAGCTGCCCTGCTTCTCCAGGAATATCACCCCCTTTCCAAAGCTTTTGCTTGGAGCCTGCACGGTGGCATTTGGGCTGCTGAGCAGCCACCTTCACGGAGGTGTCTGTGGAGATGGCTGTTCTGCGCCTCTTCCAATTTCTCTGGTTTGCTGTTTGATGTCATATATGGAAAATGCTGAAAGAGCTTTGGCTATAGCCACCATGTGACTTGGGGTTCTCCTGTTACTGTACCCTAGGGTATTACTGTACACTAGGAAAAAAAAGGCACATTCATGTTTCTGTACTGGCCCAAGGACTCCTGCTCCCCTGTCAGCTTCTCTTGCCGCAGCCTCTTGACCATGCAGATGTCTTGCTTTCTGCATGGTAAAAACACAGGCTGATCAGTACAGTTGATTAAAATGACATTCTCAATCCTAAGAACCTTTGAGCTACAAAACACTTGAGCTAAATTTTTCTTCTCGTCTCCTGTGTTTTGCAGTCCCTGCGATCCTTCCCAATTTTATATCGTTTAAGTATCTGCTTAGCATAATCCAGTCAATGCCTCCACTCCCTTCTGAAAATTACCAGTCCAGGTGCCCGGGGACCTTCTCCTCAAGAGCATATGAAAGCTTGAATAATTACTGCCTAAATGTGCCGATTGACCCAGTTGTGAATCTGTTTAATCCACATTTCTCTAGATGCCCTGAGAATTGGGACCCTATTAAATGTTCTTTACTCATAGCTACAGAAAATCCTCTGCATTCCATTAAACTATTCCCTCCACAAAGAAATCAATGTGATAACAATATGATTTGTCTTCAGCAAACCCAGCTCGGTCCCCTGTCCTCCACGCTGTTTTTTCTCTAGGTGCACAGGAACTGATGGCTTTATTAATTGTTCTAACAGCTCATCAAGGACTGCTGTTAAAATTTCCCATGTACTGTAGTTTACATTTCCTTGATTGCTTTTTTCCAGGCCTCTATATCTTTACTTCAGTCTTTTTTGCTGGTCTGGTGTTGGATAACACCCCCTRCCCAGTGCCCTGTGTTTTACTGGTGAGAGTTGCAGGATTTTTCCGAGGGGACAGTGTGAATTTGCTGCAGTTTTCACGTGCCCTGCTAGAGGAGCAGGGCTGGGGGAGACCTGCAGGTTCCCAGTGTGATCTCCAAACTCGTGCTCGTGCCATCAGACCTCCTGAGCAGGAGCTGTTTGCAAATACTCCCTCCAGTTTCTGTCTGGTTTACTTATGCCTCTCTCTATCTGTGAGACTGTATTAAAGCAAATTCTGCTCAGTGGGGAATGACATGCAGGAGCCATTTTCCTTTTTAGCCTTCTTTTCATCTCTCCATGCTCCCATTAAGTGGGTGAGCTGAAACTTCCCCAAGCCATTCTCTTGGCTCCTTTGTGTGCAGAAATCTTGTTCTCACTCCGTTGACATGCCTTGCTAATGCACTGCGTTTCTTCTCTTGCTTTGCCTCTGTGCTGCTCTTTCTTGCAAATCCCAGAGAAAAATCTCCTTTCTTCTCCCATTGCCTTTTCAAAGAGGTTTTCAAAGCCTTGCAATACTGCAGCCACATTGTGGTTGAAGGTGATGTGTAGAGAGTTTTATCAATTGGGTTTTCTAGCCCGTTGTGCTGCCTTTGAGGGGAATAAAGAAAGGAACTTTGGAAGTTTCCTAACAATTTTTCTTTAAAACCTCGAGTATGTCATTTCAGGTCTGTGCTACTTTTCCTAGAGGGACTGGTGTGGATGTGGGCTTCCCGAGCCTCTCATTGCAGCTGAAGGGATGCATGGAAAGATTCACTATCTCTCCAAAGTGTCCCCTGCTTTACCATTGGATAGATTTCAACGGTCTCAAAATAGTCTGATTAGGGATTGATTTCTGTAGAGGAAATTACGCTAATTTGAGTTTTAATTAGATTTAGTAGTCAGTGTGAACCCTCCTCTGATTGTGCATGTTCCTTAAGAGTGGCTTGTTGATTGGAAACCGTTTAATTGATGTGACTTACTCCAAAATAGGAGTGCCATTATAATGCTGCAGAAGTCCAGCTGTAATGATGCCCAGTATTAAATCATGTTTTCCTCGCATAGCTAATGCCCCAATTCATTCTTCCTCTCATTTGCTCGTGGTTCGCCCTGCAGGTGATGTCAGCATTTCATGAATTTCCCATTTCTTCAAAATCTGCAGGTTAAATGTGGTCTGAGTTGCTAATAGGGAGAAAAAAAAATCTTAGAGTCTTTTGGCCTCAGCATGCTCTGCTTCCCTTTTCTTGCAAAGTCCATGTTAAAGCTGTAAGCTTCCTTTTTAAGGCTGGTTTTGGCCCCTTACATAAGTGACTCCCAAGAGCCCTGGTAGCTCCCACGCTGGCAGCCAGACCTGAGATCCCGCACGGTGAGTTAGGAGGATGCCTAGGGTGCAACCACGTCTATGGAGCCGCTCGGTCAGGATGCAGGAGGCATCTGAAGTTTCTCCTTGTTATGGGCTGACACCCTCCTATGTCACTGTCTCCTCTTCCAGCTCCATAAAAGAGATGAGCCCCCAGCTCCCTATGCTGAGCCTTAGTGCTGAAGATAAACCGATTTAACTCTAATTTGGGCATTTCTGATCTTTTGAGCTTGTTAGTTCAGAGCAGGGGTAACACTAGGAAGAGATTTATGGAAATGATACATACAGGAGGATGTTTGCTGTGTTCCTCCTAACCCTYCTTTTTGCAGACTAATCCAGCTGAATTTCTTGGGCAGCTACAGGGTCTGTGGGGCCCGCTGCTCTCTTGATGTGCTCCTCCAGCCTCCCCTCCTGGACTTGTAGGGGTTGGCACCTCATCCTTCCTGGAGACCTCCAGTGGGAATATGAATTAGATATCACCTGCTACTGTTGCCTTGGCCCTGGCGGCAGGTCCTGAGGCCAGGACCTCAATTTTGGTTTCTCCTCCTGCCGTTGGGACCATGGCAGTGCTGCTGGTCAGTGGGTACAAACTCACACCCTGCTTGTGGCATCAGTCCCTTTTCTGCAGGCAGTCGTGCTTCCGAGGACACAGGACTCTCCATGCCTCTTTAGCCTTGTGTTCTCCCCTTGTCAGAGTGGGCTTGATCACCAGCTGGGAACCATCGGTAGGACTGGGCCCAAATCTTATCAGCAGGAGTCCAGCTTGACTGGGTTGTTAGGTCTGAGTTAGCAGTGAGGCTCGCTGGGGCTCATTGCACAGCTTTCCCTTTAACCGTCCACGTTTTGATTTGCTTCTCCATGTCCTTTACCTGTTCTGCCCTTTGGGAGCTTTCTGTCCTCCCCCTTCTCCTCTTCACCAGGACGACAAGTGGGACCCTCAACTGTATGAACGCTGCCAAMTTGCTCTGCCAGCCCTAACTGTTCTAGTCCTCATTCCGCTTCTATTTAATTCATCCCGCAATGCTTTTAAAAGGCACGAAGCACTAACCAGGTCAGCAACATCCTTATTATCACAGGCTGCGAGTCTCTGGGAACTGTAATCCCGTTGTTTGGATGAGCTTGTGTCAGTTTTGCTCTCTGTCACCGCCGCGCAGTCGCTGACACAGATGCTGTTTGACTTTGTTTTCCCGTTGCCGAGTGCAGCTGAGAGCGAGCCCAGGCTGGGCCCTGCGTGCTCGGCGCACGGGGAAGGGAAGCTCCTGCCTGCACACAGCACAGGCACCCGTAGCGTGCACAGCATTAAAGGGGTAGGGAAACTTCCTTGGAAATAGCTGACCACGCAGCGTAAGGCCCTGGGCCCAGTCTGGCTCCAAACCTGKCGAGCAGCAGTGCGCGTTGGCCACCAGCTGGGCCCGGAGCTGCTGTTTGCAGCGCGGTCGCGTGGCTCCTGTGCTCGGCCCAAGGGCCTGGCTCTGCAGGGGAGCTGCACCGGGTGTGCCAGGCTTGGGAGCAGGGCAGCGACTGTGCCCTGCGTCCAGCCAGACAGCAGCGAGCACGCCAAGGGGCACTGGCAGAAAGTGCTCTACCYGTCACAGCCTGCAAGTGCTGCCTCCCGTATCTTTGCATACAGGAGGTTCCTCAAGTCAGGCTAGCTCATGCATGGAGGCAGAGAACCCTCTGATCCTCCCTGGGGATTGGTTCTCTTGGATAGGCCATCACTGCGGGCACTCCTGTTACTCCAGCAAGCAGCTAATCCTTGGGGGTGTCTTGCTAAGCTGGAGCTCAGTGAGAATCGGCTGCAGGCAAAACAGCTCCGTGCCAAACAGAAAGGCTGGTGGCATCAAAGTTGCTGCGTGCGCCGGGAGCACAGAGAAGAGTCTTGGCTGCAACGTGTCGTTTTCTCTTTGGCAGGTTCGGTCCATCAGCATTAACGTGAGGAAGAACCTCGCTTTCAACACGCTGAGCCAGGAGCTCCTGCTGAAGGAATTCTCCACCATCTCGTGAAGCCGGGGCACGGCCTCCGCGCAGGGCTGCCCGGGCCGGGCCRRGCCGCCGGGGACGCTGCACACCCGCGGCCGGGCGCGCCTTGCCCTCCGCCCGCATAAAGGGACTGCCTTTCTTCTGGGGGGGAAAGCCTTGCTGCTGTGTGTTTGATCCCAAGGGAGTGTGTTCCAAGAGAAGCGTGGCTAAGGAGAGGGGATTGCCGTGTGGAGGAGGAGGAGGAGGGAGCAATTTTGCAAGGTGCCATTGGGGTGGGCAGCTCTTCCTGGCGAGTAGCAATGGGGGATTCCCTCTGCAGCCTCAGGGAAGATGCACTGAAAACCTCTGTAGCAGAGCTGAGGAAAGCTCACATCCAGAACAATAAAACCAGTCCAGTTGTGTGAGGCAATTCTGGGTTGGGATTGCTCGCCTGCTCTCTGCCCCCTGGTAAAGGCCATTTTTTAAAATCAGTCTGGATCAACCTTTTGTCCAAATTTTGTAGGTCAAGTCCACTGCCATCCTGCAACAGGTTTCAGTATCCTTGGGAATGGTTTTGGGGTATAAAATGGGTTTCTTAAGGAGCAGGACTGATTACTGTTGAACGCTGGTGTCAGTCCTCACA